CCGTTAAATGAAAAGGTTAGTCCCAAATATTTGAACTTGCTCTACCGGCACCCCGTCCATTGACCATTTCATTTCTTTGTATTATTTATGGAAACGCATGATCTTTGTCTTTGAGTAATTTACAGTAAGTAACTCTTTTTGGCATTGTGCACTAAATTTTTCCAACGCCCTATTTAAACCTCCTCTAGTACGTGAGAGAAGCACAGCGTCATCTGCATACATTAAAACCGGGATTTTTCTTCCAGGGCTTGAATAGGTCTTGATAGCTTACCATCAGCAGTGTAACATATTTGTAAAGATGTATTTTTATACAAATTAGACATCAACACCAATAATCTCTTGTCTATAGTTGACTGCTCCAATTTAGCCCATAGTCTTTCCCTCACAACCGAGTCAAAGGCCGCTTTCAGATCGATAAATGCAGCATATAGGACTCCCTTGTGATTATGCGTATATTTTTGTACTAAATAATCAAGGACCAAACAGTGATCCAAGGTAGAACGGTTCAGTTTCAAGTATTTTTTCCTGTTCTAACCATCCATTTCTTCCTTTAGGAGGGGCTATTGTCGCAAGAAAAGAAAAAGGCTTCAGTTTTGTTTTTGCATGTGGGTGGGTATTCTGTTTGTAATAATTGTTTGGATATACTATATTTTTAGTATGCTAGTTGTGATAATTTCATGCCAAGTAAAAATGTCCATAGTCATATTTTATGTTCCTAAAGTAACAGAATGACTGTCAATCTGGAAAAGAAAAAAGAAGTGCTAATGTAGCATTTTTTTCAATTTTTCTGAAAATTTCTGGTTCTCCCCGGAAAAAACCCAGGGTTTTTCCCGAGCTTCAAAATTTCCGGAAATTTCACATCTCTACTCTCTGGCGAATGTGGCTTCTCCCGTGGCTTTTCTCCCACTTTGGTCTCCTACTTTTTATTCCCTTAAAAGACCCCTTCCAGACTCTGCTGCTTTCGAAGCAATTTGTCCAGTGGGATGAAATGCTCAACCAGGTGGAAGCCGCCAAGCAGGTGAAGCCCGTGCCGGAGTGAGGGCCGTGGCCTGACAAGGACCCCTTTGGAGTCGCGTGCGGCTCCCTCGCACCCTCGTCCGACGCTTCCCTTTTTGTGAGCGAGAGAAGAGAGCCGTCAGGCCCCGGAGAGCCCTACCCGGAACTGCCTCCTTCAGTCAACCCGCAGCTCCTTGGACTGATGTGCTTGTGGGGCCTGCCTGGCCGTCTCGCCCGTCACCCTTGACCTTAGAGGAGGTGAAACGATTGTCAGCGCATCCGTCTCCCCCTTAACAAGTCCCTCTTGTAACTTATTTTGTTTTTCTCCTTCAGCAAGCAGTGCATGATTGCTTGGTTTCACTGCTATTTCCCGTGGACCACAATAAAGTCTTATCTTAACCCTGATGTTGCGCCTGTTTTGTTCCCCTTGGGCCACTCAGAACGGCAGATGCAAAGAGATCTCTTTTGCATCTTAACTTAGTTACTAGGAATTGTAGCTCGCTCCATCCTTCAGGTTCAGGGCAAGTTATTGGTAAAAATGTATGGTAAAATTCAGGGGTCACTTTGTAGAAAAAGAGGTGCAGGAGCTCATTAGCATACCTCATTAGCATAACTTATTTGCATATGCTACACCCCCTGACATCACCGGAAGTGTGTCAGAAGGCAACACCCAACCCTCAGGCTCCACTGGACTCTTTTGGATTGCTAGCTATTGGGGGGGGGGACGTGCAGATCTGCCCTCACAAAGGAGGGAGAGCTTGTACCGGAATAAAACTTGGTCTTAAAGGTGCCACTGGACTGTTTTGGATTGCTAGCTATGGGGAGGTGGGAACGCGCAGATCTGCACTCACAGAGGAGGGAGAGCTTGTGCCTGAATAAAACTTGGTCTTAAAGGTGCCACTGGACTGTTTTGGATTGCTAGCTATTGGGGGGGGGACATGCAGATCTGCCCTCACAGAGGAGGGAGAGCTTGTACTTGAAGGTGGGCCGGGGGGTGGGGCTCTGCAACTTACCTGGCTGCTTCTTGCTCCTCGTGGCCCAACTGAGGGCTGCTGGGAGCAGAGGGCGGGGTTTGTTGCATGTGCCCACCCCCTGAGCTTACTGCCGGAGCTCTGCTGTGCACTTCCGCAGGAAATGACCCCTGGTAAAATTTAATCAGAGTTGATCTCTCATATGCCCCCTTGTCTTTGGCTACCAAAAGAACAGCATGCATTACTTCCAGAAGGCACTCGCTTGGACTTGGTGGTGAGGGGCCAGCCCCCAAGGGTGCCCTGATTGAACCCTTTGTAGAGACGGGAGGGTGCAGGGAAAAATTGAGTGGTGGGGGGTAATGTGGGTTTTTCCAGAAAAATTGGGGGGGAAATGGATTATGGAATATGTTCTTTCACAGTTTTAATTAACATGTTTATGACAAGGTGTTCGTATATTTAATCCTCCAATATTATTTCTAAAAATATGGATTGTGAAGATTATGTAAAGTGTCAGATCATTGCAGTTCCTGTACACTGAAGATAAGCAAATGCTGGAATACAATTCAAATACTGAGAAAATACAGAGGATAAAATTCGGGTTTTATTTATTTATTTTTGCGTGCTTTCATAAACTGGCAAAAGAGGACCCTTATAGTGCAGGCGTTCTTTACATTTCATGACCTTGTAGTTCCGTTTGTAACAAAGAATAAAACTTTAAAAAGTAAATTCAATTTGTTGTTATTTTCTGAATAAGCTGTACTTTTAATATATCAAGCATGATACTTTCATGCCAATCGAATTTATGCACGCTGCATTTTATATTCCCAAAGTAACAAAGTGACTTTCAATCCGTAAAGAGAACTAATACTGCATTTTTTTCAATTTTTCTGTAAAAAAAAATTTTTCCTAGAAAGAAATGTTTTTCCCCCCATGGTGGTGGATGCTCCTTCGCTGGACGTTTTCAAGCGGAGGCTGGACAACCATCTTTTGGAGATGTAATAGGGCTATCTTCCGGCTACGCTCCTGCAGAGTGCGGGGGGGTTGGACTAGATTACCTGCAAGGTCCCTTCCAGCGCTAACATTCTATGATTCTATGAGACATTGCCTATTTTATTAGAAGACAATAGCAGGCCTATCACTCTTGGCTGTGAGATTTTATGCATCTGCGATAGCTTTTTCCAACTGTTCGAATGGGATCTAGCTTTGTCTATATTTTAGTAATCTGTTTAGAACTAATAAATTAAGAAACATATGTGGTAGGTAGGTTTTAACCCCGGAAGACCATGAAGGTACGAAGGTGAGTGGGAAAAGGGCCATCGTCAGTGCCTTTCATGGGCTCCGCAGGGAGACAGTGGCTGAGAATTCCACCCGTGGTAAGTTTATCTGAAAGAATCAGGAACCTCACGTTTTGCAGACGTGGCTTTCCCTGCAGAGGCGCACATGGACTACGCTTTCTTCTTCCACGTTGTGCTTGCAGGCTTCAAGTGAAGAAAAAATGGCACGCTGTTGGTTATGCCATAAATCAGATAGCCTGCTTATATAGGGAACCTGCAGCCATAGGGCAGTATGTAATATGAGAAGTGCCCACATGGCAGTAGCCGTGCTGCCTGTTGATCATCTCACCCTGGTATGTCTGCCTGGTTGTTGATCCTTTACTTCCAGGTCTTTTAAGCATGCCAGGTTTCCTTAAGTGTGAGAGGTGTTGGTTGCTTGCCATGCCAATAGGTGTGAGAGGAGGGCCAAGATTGGTGCCGTGGCTGCAGTCGTTGCATGTGGTCATCGTTTCCTATGGGAACAAACAGGCTGTTTCACCTGGGACAAAACTAATGCTAATTGTAGATTGTTAGCTTGCTCTTTTTACAAAAGCTCCCCTCATTTTTCTGCATTTCAGTTTGAAGCCGATCCAGCCGATTTCTTAATTGTTTGATTTCTACTAAGTCTATTTTCTTCAGGGATTTGTTGATGCTGGCCTTTTAGGGTCTGGATTCTTTCTGTCATTTTCTTAATTTGTTCCAATCTTTGCCTCTTTTTCTTTGAGGCAAGGGCAATTAATTTTCCTCTCCTATACACTTTACTTGCTTCCCCTATAGGTGCCATAAAGAGATCTTCTGCGATACTTAGTTTTTAAAAATTCTTCTATGTCCTGTTCACAAGTTTTTAAAATATCTTCCCGCAGCAAGAGGTCGTTAGCCTGCTTTTTGATTCTTTTGAAATGTGGTGTTGGAGGAGAATTTTATGGATACCACGGGCAGTCGTTGCATGTGGTCATCGTTTCCTTTGCGAACAAACAGGCTGTTTCACCTGGGACAACACTAATGCTAATTATAGATTGTTAGCTTGCTTTTGTTTTGTTTTTTACAAAAAAAAAAAACCCTCATTTTTCTGCATTTCAGTTTGAAGCCGATCCAGCCGATTTCTTAATTGTTTGATTTCTACTAAGTCTATTTTCTTTAGAGATTTGTTTACGCTGGCCTTTTAGGGTCTGAATTCTTTCTGTCATTTTCTTACTTTGTTCCAATCTTTGCCTCTTTTTCTTTGAGGCAAGGGCAATTAATTTTCCTCTCCTATACACTTTATTTGCTTCCCCTATAGGTGCCATAGAGAGATCTTCTGCGATACTTAGTTTTAAAAAATTCTTCTATGTCCTGTTCACAAGTTTTGAAAATATCTTCCCGCAGCAAGAGGTCGTTAGCCTGCTTTTTGATTCTTTTGAAATGTGGTGTTGGAGGAGAATTTTAGGGATACCACGGGCTGCCGAAAAGGCAAGTGGGTCGCCGATTGAATCAAACCGGAACTCTCGGCAGGAGCGAACATGACCAAAAACTGAGGCAATCGGACCTTGGTCGCGTGATGAGAAGGCAAGAGTCGCTGGAAAAGACCGTCCTGCAGAAGGCAGTAGAAAAAGCCCAGCTGGAACTCATTACCATAATAGGCCATACCAACAGCAGGAACTCATTAGCATAATAGGCCACACCCTTACACCCCAGCTCATTAGCATATCAGGCCGCAGCCCCCTATTGTCAGAGGTGTGGTCATCCAGCCACACCCACCTTTTGCTTCTTATTCTGTTTACCTTGTTTGTTGTCAAAACCCAGGGCTTGTTTTTGGAGCAGGAACTCCTTCGCATGTTAGGCCACATACCCCTAATGTAGCCAATCCGAATGAGTTCCTGCTGTTGGGTGTGGCCTATTATGCTAATGAGTTCCTGCTGGGCGTGGCCAATTTGGGAGCCAGCCGGAACTCCGTTCCTGTGCGTTCCTGCCCAAAAATAGCCTTGGCAGCAGGAAAAGAGGAAGACACAAACCTGAGATGGATGGACTCCATTTAAGGAAGCCGTGGCCCTCAGTTGGTGAGACCTAAGCAAGGCTATTAACAACTGGGCGTTTGGGAGACTATTAATTCATAAAGGTGAAGGTTTCCCTTGCTCGAAAGCCAGTCGGATCCAACTCTAGGGGGCGGTGCTCATCTCCATTTCCAAGCCAAAGAGCCAGCGCTGTCTGAAGACGTTTCTGTGGTCATGTGGCTGGCATGACTAAACGCTGATGCGCACGGAATGCTGTTGCCTTCCCACTGAAGCGGTACCTATTTATATACTTGCAGTTTCTTGCTTTCGAACTGCTAGGTTGGCAGGAGCTGGGACCAGAGACGGGAGCTCACTCCGTCATGTGGCACTCGGGTCTCGAACCGTCAAACTACCAACCTTCCAGTCTGCAGTTCAGCATCTTAACCTCTGCGTCACCCTTGTAGGGTCACCATCAGTCGGAAGTGACTTGACAGCACTACACACACACACACACACACACAGAATGATTTTACAAACTTGCTTGGATAAATGATTAGGAACTGTGGTCTATAGTGCTGTGTACAGCTGATTGAAAGTGGGATCCTAATATGTAACTTCTATACCGTTTAATGCAGAGGGGTTAAAACTCATTTGTTACAAGGGCCGGACCTGACGTAAATGCCACTTTGCCGGGCCACGTGCGCCATAAAACGGTCATGCCAGGTACCGGAGATATAAACTGTGTAAAGGACAGCAGCTGGTAAGCTCTGTCTTGGTGTATCCTCACTGCAAGGCCTCGTGGGCTGGGAAGGGTTGCCAAGGAAAACCCATATGGGCCAACTGGAGAGCCAGCGGCGCTGCAGTGGGCAGACGCTCCCACACTGCTGGACTGCTGCAGGCGAGGTTGTTCCATTATGCTGAAGCCACAATTGGAGTGGCTCCGCCCCCCCCTCCCCCAAGCAGTCTCC